TTAATTACAGCTGTTAAAAATTGACAACTCACTCAAATAAATGCACAAAAAAAAAGCTAACTATTTTTACCCGTAACTACTTAATTATTCAAAACACTTATTTCTCCTTTCATAATAAATCTTACCAGTAAAAACACCATACCACGTGCTATTTTGCAGCATTTTCACTTTTCATTTACTTCAAATCAAACAATTGACGAAAACAATGAAACATTTATTTCTACTGTCCATTCTAGAAAACCTAAAACTGGAAGAGATTTTTTTGAAAAGACATAGATCTATTTTATTTTCATGTATCTCATAGCTACAACTTACCGTTGGAATTTTAAATTAAAAACCAATGAAATATATCATATGTTAAATGTTTAATGTTTAATGTTTAATGATTCAGAAACCAACTCAATAGTCAATTAAATAAATCTAATGTTAGTGTTAGTGAGCATCTAACCTCATCTCCACGAAGACTATGCAGATAAGTATATATTGACGTGGGCTAAACAATGAGATGACCGAAATCTCCCACATGAATGGATCCGCTATCTGGTTTTAATTTAATTTATGTGTATAAAGCTGGAATTTGGTGAGTTGAAAATATTTTTCACTTTATAGACCATAGGGATTGAATTATGGTGAAAAGCTGATGTGGCAGTTTCAGAGCAAGATGGGCGCCTTTTGTATTTTCCTATTCCGTGACGACACGTCGAAATTCTTTCCTTTTCCACTGCACCTTCATGCTTAAATTGCCTACTTGCGTACGTAAATCTCTCCACCCTATCAATGCCTTCATGCTTAAATTGTATTTTTCTATCACATGTTTTTTATATTTGTCCCATTCAACTTTTTCCCTTTAATTTTTTCTATCTCAATTTTCAATTTAGATATCCATAAGACCACCTGACAATTAAAAGGAAGAGAAACTACAATAAGTGTGGATTGGAAAACATGCGATGAATGCACCAACACTAGGTCGTACACGCCTGTGTCTATCACCCTCTCAAATATGAAATTGATTCTTCCATCCATCAATTTTCACGTGGCCGATTAAAATTATCTCACATCAATTTTTAGTCGTACCAAACAAGCATAATTTGTTGTGTCAATAGAAATGTTGTCCTTATATACTCAACATCGTTCCTATGATGTGAAACAATATTTGCACACTTAAAGAGACACTCAAAGTTAGGTGTTGTAATGACTGGATAATGATACTTACAAAAGATCTAAAAGTTAAATATAAGAGTGTACAACGCCTTTAATCATAGAGGTAGAAGAAAATCGAGGGAAGCCGCAAGCTAAACATAGCCAAGCAGTGGCACACTCTCTCTAGCCTGAGTCGAGTTCTAGTGAACAAACATGAACAACCCCTGGCCACTCGACTTCATCCTCAGAGTTAATTTAATCAGAAATTATAGATGAATTAGCCAATTAATTAGGGTTCTTTCTCATCTACTCCCGACAACCTCATTTTTCCACTTTAGTTAATTTAGTTTCATTAGTTTTTCTTGGTTCAGTCCACTTCTATGGACCTGGGCTGCTGCTGCTTCTTGTTGTTTCATATTCTTTTTATTTTTCTTCCAATAGGCCCCTGCTATTTTAGGGTTTTGGTTGGTTCGTGGGAGAAAAGGAATAGCCACCTTTTGATTTGAATGTCATTTCTTTATTATTATTATTTTTTTAAAAACTGTTAGTGTCCAGACCAGCTTACATACATCTCGACTAATCTCACGAGACAACTGCCCGCCTAACCCTACAATATTTGACGTTGAGAAACACATAGGAATTACTAATTCCTAAGGTAGGTGGTCATCATGGCATTCGAACTCATTCCTTCTTAATTAACTCTAGCCCCTTTGACATTTCTTTGTTATTATTTACCTAAAAAATTTCAGGATTGAAATCAGAAACCTATTAAAAAGTAAAAAACTGGGATTTTCCCTACAACAGATTTATCTCAGCAAACCTGAACCTACATCAATTATCAAACGCTAACTGGTGAACATGTCTCTCTTGTATATATCAAGAGTCTCGGCTGGCCTTTGATGTCAAATAATATCTACCAGTTATTTGCTAATTAGTGAAGTCAAAAGATAAATCACAAATGAACTCTAATCCAAAGGATTCTATTATGGATTCAAAATCTGCTAATCCAGAGATTGACCCTAATCAATAGAGGATCAAAGCCTACTAATCCAACTAAACTAACCACGAATCAAAACAATTAAGAATTAAACGAAAATTACAAAACTTGTATTAATTATGGAACCAAGGGTAGGAAGCAAATGTGAGCGCAGGCAGACGCCAAACTCCTACGAATTTCAACAGGAACAAGGAGAAAATTGGGAGCTTAAAACGAAGAGGGAAACATTTAATGGCTCTTACATAAAAAATAACTCATCTTAATCTAATCTAAATCCACCCAACAGCGCCGGTGACTGGATAAACTTTATATAATTAGCCCATTTTGCTCTCTATCCTTACCTGTGTTAATGAAGCCACCACTCAGTTTGGTGGGTGAAGATCATGCCAAAAATTTATTCAAATATCGTGTTGTTCTGAAAAGTGTATGATTTATTTTTTCGTATAATTGTTATTTGTTCCTTACCCTTTTAAGATTATATCAAATCAACTATAAATCGCCATCCAATAAGTTGAAATTTAACCCATCTGCTCTCAAACTCCAGCACATGACATGAGATAAGAAACCATATTCCACCAAAAATCCAACTTTATTGCCCAAACACCTGTCTATTTTCTACTTTATCTATTTCTATAAGTATATCAATTGCACAGATGCTTTTGATCCACTGAAATCAAATTACATATTACATATATAAACAAATTTAAGGAGGAAGGGAAACTACTGACCGGTGAGGAGGCAAGTTTTTGCCATATTATTGGCACAACTGTAGAAACAGAGACAGGAAACTCGTCGTTTAGTTTAGACTATAACTTTGAAGGTTTCTTGGAGCTCCGACCAGCTATAAATTCCTGCATTTTCTTGAACTGCTCTTTTGTCATTCCATTGTAATACGCATGCCCTCTCTCCTGCATCAAAGTAACACACAGTCGATTGGACAATGCTACTCTACTACACAAGCTCTGTCATCTGAAAACAAAACTACTTATGAATTATCTCCAATCAATCACTGACATCAATTTGGGGATAAAATTGAATTTAGTATCATTCATAATCAGTATCTTTCTAGCAAATTTCAAGGGGTTGGGCAAGTACCTTTTCCAGCGCAAGAGCGTGGCCAAGGTCCAGCTGAAGGCCATCGTTAATGACCGACTTGTACCTCAACACCATGTCCTGATTGTTCTTTAAGATGGCCTCCGCCACTTCTCGAGCTTTCTTCAACAACTCACCTCCTTCCACCACGTGATTCACCAAACCCCTCCTCTCTGCTTCCTCTGCAGTTAGAGGCATCGCCGTTAGGGATACTTCACGAGCTTTGTTAACTCCAATGATCCGTGAGAGCTTCTGAGACAATCCCCACGAAGGAAATATCCCAAATCTGCAACCAAGTTTTCCCAGATATGACACGTTCTTAATTGGGCATTTCAATAGAAAAGCGTTTCCCAAAAGATTTCAGAAAATTAATTATTCTTGATCCTAATTCGCTTTACAGAAATGGTAAATAACAAACAAACCTAGCATGAGTGTCGATGAACTTAGCCCCTTTGGCAGCGATAAGTATGTCGCAAGCCAGAGCGATCTCGAACCCAGCGGTGATCGCGAACCCCGCAATCGCTCCGATGATCGGCTTCCGGCAGCGTTCCATTTGCAGAACCGGATCGGATTCAACGTCCTTCACATCCCCCTTGAACACCTCCTCCGCCGCACTAAGGTCTACACCGGAACAGAAGGCTCGCCCTGATCCCGAGAGCACGATGACCCGCACCGACTGGTCGCGGTCCAAGCTCTTAATCGCGTGGGCCAAATCTACAATCATGGGTCTGGTTAACGAATTCAGCGACTTGGGACGGTTAATAGTAACAAATGCGATCCCGTTTGGCTCTCGGTCAACGAGTATGAGCTTCTCCGGCGAAGAAGGATCCATTCCGGCCAAAGAATCGTGAAGCAAAGCAGAATTAAAATGGGTTATTGTACTGGAATTGGGTGCGATATGGCGCGGTTCAGTGAAGAGATGGCATCGAGAAACGTAGAAATCTCATATCTGACGTTAGCCTCCAGTGGCGCAATTGCAATTGTGCAGAAAGTGGATAAACTCAGAGATAGGAACTCTCCAGTAAATACAGCCTTGACACAGAAATCTAAAAATAGAAATTTGAAAACAAACAATTCAATAAAATAAATTCGTATTGATTTGTGTTTGTTACTGGATTTTAACATTAAATCTTAATTTTAAAAAAATGATCAAAATCGATTTTGTAAATATTTATAAACCATTGTTAGATATGAATTAAATATTTAATTCAATATAAAATATTATGAATTAATTTATTAACATAAATGCTATAAAATTTGTACAATTACTATATATTAAATTTTACCTCTTTTAAGATTTAACAAGAATGAGATTAGGTTTATACATAAAATAATATATTTATCAAAGTTTTTATCTCTTCAAATATAATTCTGCATCTTAAGTTTCAGATTCAGATTCAAAATATGAAAACAATGAAAACATAAAAATGTTGTTTCATAATTTTACAACTACTGAATTAATTTGATTCAGTAACAATAAACAAAATCTGTTGTTAGCCAAACACATCCTTATTTTACCCAAATAAGGATTGGGCTAGCTTTAAGAATTGGGCTTACTTGAAGGCTCGGCCCGCTTTAAAGATTGGGCTTATTTTTGGACTTTATGGTCTTTTCATTTCGTGGTCGGCGTGTTGGGAGTTGGTACTGAGGGTTTACTCATCTTTGGAGCTCGCCGTCACCGATTTGTTTCGATTCATCTGCAGATACACCGTTTCGTTGCCAGAATACAGAACGCCGAGCAATTTGCGACCGGAATTTGCAGAAAATGGAAGGTGGAGACGATGGTGTCGAGAGGCTTGTAGATTCCAAGGATATGCAGCAACAAAGCAAGGCCTTCGATAAGCTCACTGATCGCGTCGAGGACCGTCAACTCGATTCCACTCGTGTGCAAGAGGTATTTGCCTCTCTAACTTGACTCTCCAAGGAATTCGCTACAAATTAGCTGCCCTAATGATTGCACTTCTGAAATTTGGAGTTCATTTCATCTCGACTCGAGAGGGTTTTCGTATTTTCTTCGAATTTGTGCTGTTTAGATTCTCATTCAGAAATATTAGTGCAAGCAAGTTCTGCAATTTAATGTTCTTGTTTTTTGCGATCGCGTGGCAGGCAATGGCATCAATTGCCGCATCGGCGGAAGCCGATTGGAATGCTATGATGTTGAGGTACGATTAGAATCCTGGTTTTTCCCCTTTAATCAGAGAATTGGAATTTTTGGCGAGTAATTAATGAGTTTCTTCTGATCGTTGGAACTCTTTACTGCTTGAAGTATGTGCGCATTCCATTTCTGTTTATTCAAACTGAATTGTCTTCCTCTAGTGTCTGTTGCGTTATATCTTATGCCACTTGCATCCGTCATGGAACAAAACTTTAGTGTCAATGAATCTAAACGTTACCTTGTGGTCGGTATTCATCCTTTAGGTTTTTGTTCCTTTAGTTTGTTATCTTGCTTGCTTTTATTGCCCATATTGCAAGGTTGTGAATTTTGAAACATCAACTGCCAACCATCATCTTTGGTATATATATACTTCTGGCTATGTAGTAACTTTCTTGCAGTATTTGATTGAAGTACCTGAGTTGGAGCCTATAATTTTTGCAACTAATTTTCATTCTTGAGATAGAAGACATTTGGACTGTACATTTCTTACTTCTTTGCCACATTGTTCCAGCTATGATGGTTGTTGAATATTTACTATTTAGCATGGAGTGTTTAATAAGGAGTCGTTGTATTTTTCGTCTTTCAGAGAGAAAGAACTAGCTGCTGTCAAGATAAATGCAGCTGATCTTGACATAATTGCTAACGAACTCGAGGTTAGATTCACTTCCGTAAGCCACATTTGCCTCGTTTCACATCTTCAATGTTTATAACAATACTTCTAATTCATTCCCATCTTTTGTTGCATTGGTAACAGTTGGACAAGAAGGTTGCTGAGAGAACATTGCGAGAGCACAAAGGCGATGCTGTTGCTGCTATACGGTATTTACTGCACTAAGCGGGACTTTTGAGAGGGCCTGTGTGTGTATTCACTACTTGGAAGTGTTACTGGGAAAACTTTTCAGAGTGCACAAGTGAGAATGATAAACATATACCATTTGTAACTCCAAATTACTTTATGGGAAACTTTGACAATTGTTTCTTATCTCGATCGCCACTCGGCACATCGTTATGGGCTCAAGGGAGGAGGCTTCATTTGCTGGAAAATATTGGTAAACGTCTCAATGTGGTCACGGGGTTGGTACATGCTCCATAAATAGTTCCTTTTGAGATGAAAAGACCTTTAAGAATTGATGACTTGGCCTGATCTTTGCCGTCATATTCAAACTTTTGAAGTTAGGAATTGAATAGAAATTGAAGTGTTTGATCTCTTTTGCTTTGCTTTGCAGTTCAATTAGTTTAGCCACTTGATTTTGATTGATTTAGTCCATCTAATCTACTTAATACCCAACTTCCAAAGTAATCTCTATTAATATTACACAATCCAGTTGATTCTATCAAACCTTCCTCAAATTTCTAGTTTGTGATTAGGGTAAAAATTCAACTCGAGAATCTACAGTTTTCCGAAGTTCACCGGTTTGGAAATTTCCAAACTTGATTGTTCACAACCGAACTCGACTCCAACGTTCAAATGAATAACCGCATGATTAAATTCCTCCTTAATGCTTCGCTCAGAATCTCAGAGATAACCATAAATTTAAATTTCTTACACTAATGGTTATCATATTTCCCGATATCCTGTATTGACAAAAACTTCGAAGTGTTAATTTCTTTTTTTGCAGGATTCTAGAGTGTTATTGTGGAACAATAACAGTACAAGAAGACACGAGATCAGAAGTGACAAAAGTTTCGGAGTGCTAACTCCTTTTATGTAGGATTCTATCTTCGAGTGTTACTGTGGAACAATTTCGATACGGAAGACAAGAGATCAGGAGGTAGGACGATAATGACAAGCCTGTTTCCCCCACCATAAGAAAGGAAAGCAAGAGCATTTATGTTATAATAATTAAACTCTCAAAAAATGGTGATCTTTGTACAACTTTTGACAAGTGGTCCGAAACTCATTTACAGCAAATGAAGCAAGTGGGAGACATTTGATTATGCCCAATCAAACAGCACTACCGACACCTAATAAGAAAAAAGAAAAAAAAAAGTTGTTTATTTTGACACTTTTACTTTTAGAAAAGAGGAAGAAAAAAAAAATGCCACCACCAAGCTCTGCCCAGTTGATATGAAACACTGCCACTCTGAGAAGAAGTCTGTCTTTTTCCTTTCTCAAATGGCAAAATCCTCCTCCACCCATCAACTTACATTCAACTTTGTGGTTCAAACTTCAAACAATCTGCTGAACCAGTTGAAAACCTTTTATACAACTTGTCTTGGCTTCTTCTTCAGTTGGCAATGGGTATGATGGGGAAAAATAATTAAACCAAAAAAATTGGTGGTTCTATGTTTCCTTTTGAGGGTGGTTGTTATCTCCACCAGAACGAGCTGCCTGTAATTGAATTGCATACTTCCTCTGCAACTCTCTGAGCCTATCTATCAGAACCTGGAATGAAGGCCGGTTTGCGGGTTCGCTGTAGTTTACAATATAACGAATTTTAGCACGAGCAAAGTTTGAATAACCATTGCGAACTCGTTTGATAGTCGTTTTGTTTTCGAATCTTCTTATTCCATCGAGAAAATAAGAATGATTTAGGCAACTCAGACAAATTAAGTACCTGTTGCAGCAGCTTTCAATTATAGAAGCCCATTGTGGATCCACATCTTTGGGGATTTCAAGTCGTTGGTTCATGAACCCCACAGCACCGATTACCTACACATTCTGAAAGTTGTCAAAGAACAACACACAGGAAGCTTGCTGCTGCATGGAAATTTGAAATGCTCAAATGGAAGAACATTCTACTTACTATTTATGATATGGTTTAGTTGCATTGAAAGTTGTAGATATCACTTGAGAAAGAGGTTTAGTACCTGCATTGAATTGAGATTTTCCCAAGGGATCTTCTCGGTCGCAAGCTCCCACAATATGACTCCAAAACTGTATATGTCAGACCTGGATATTACAATCAGAATCAGTGGATTTATCTTTTGAGTTTGAGAATTCGGAATAGAATGAAGCTTGAAACGTTTTGGCAGCTGAAGGATGAGAACATACTTCTCATCAGAGGGATCGTTACGAAGAACTTCGGGCGCCATCCATTGAGGCTATGTGAAACAAAAAAGGATTGAATAAGAGGATCAATCGTGAGCTTCAAATGGTTTGCAGCACAATACCAAAATTCTAGAATCAAAAGGCTGGTACGACCAGCAAGCGCGAAATTCCCAGGCTTACCGTTCCCTTCCCGGTCTTAGTTGTTAGATAAGTGTCGCGCTTGAGACGAGATAGACCGAAATCGCCAACCTATGGGAGCAATGAAAGCTATAAGACTCTAAATTGTAATTGTACATTTTTTTCTTGAGTTCCTAAATAACAGTTCCCCTGAATGCCAAAGGGAATTTTTTATGTACATTAGTAGGAAATGAGAGCATACCTTCACAGTCCAGTTTTTATCAATTAACAGATTTGACGATTTCAAATCTCTGTGAATAATAGGTGGATTACAATGATGAAGATAGTTCATGCCTCGTGCCTATGAAAGAAATGAAATATGTTAACAATGGAATAGAATGAAATGACTAGTAATCTAAGAACAATATTCATCATAGTCAGCAATATATAAGGCTTGAGAAGCATTGCAAGAAGAGAAATTTGAATGCAGAAGAAATGCCGAATTGTCTGCAAATACAAATACTCACAATGTCCAAAGCCATATGAGTGCGGCGCCTCCAGTCTAATTTGCCAGAGTTCCTCTGTAGTAAACGAAACAAACTTCCACTGTTTTTTTATAGGTACCAGCACTTCAATCAGCCTAAGAAGGATGCTTCTTTTGGAAGCATAAATCAAAATTATCGAAACCGAGAATAGTAGCCAGGAACAAACCGTGGAAGGAATTCCGTGACGATGCAGAGACGCTGGGGTGAAGTCACAACTCCCATAAAGAGAAGAATATTGGGATGCCTAAGCTTTTTCATCAGGGATACCTTCATAAACATAAAGTTGAACTTAGCTCTAAGAATAGACATTTTATTGCCCGGGGCGGGGTCGGGATCGACCATAGGTCCATAACAGAGTTTCGAGGGAGTAAAGAGAGAAGCAGAAAGCATACCTCCTGTCTGAAGGAGAGAATCACATCATCTGAATACTCTTGTTTGGAAAACACTTTAACGGCAACATCCTGAAAGAACAGTTCGAATCATCTTTCAAACGTTAGATATTATAATAGTTCCTTAACAATTTGTACTTCTTTAGTTCCTACGAGATAAAACAATGAAAGAAAACTAAAGATTCTCAGAATCCCATTTGACAGAACAGCATAATTGAAGCAATTGAAAGGATAAGTGAACATACTGATCCATACCACAGCGCATGATAGACGGTTCCACAAGAACCTGCAGAGATCAAGGCAAGACACGCATTAGAAACAAATCGATTTATACGAAGCAGAAAGAACAATCAGAGAAAATAAGTTTAACAAATTAATCTGAAATTCCATATAAATTTTGATGAACATATAACGTAAGAAAAGTTAAATAGAAATAAAATGGTATGTGCAGAACCCCATTCATTCCAAAGACCATTACTTACCTTGCCCTATTTGCTCCCCAATTGTAAGGTCTTCCCACAATATTTCATAATCCAAGCAGTCGGTTTCCATGTCAACCTTGTTAACAGCACTGCTGCTGGTACTTCCACAGCTACTGGCACTGCTAGTGCTGTTAACATTGAACGATGACCAGGACCCCGAGGCTTCGTTGTTGCCTGCTCGATGACCGTCGTTTTGCTGCATTTCTAGTTTCCCAGCTGAAGAGAAACTCTTATGGTTGCCCGGTTCGGCTTCTTGATCATTTTGTACCCAGGGCCAAACGAAACGGGCAGTCCTTGCTTCAGATCCTTCCTGCTCGGTCCCTTTCCACGGCCACGATAAGCCCTTCTTAGCAATCCACTCTTCTGCTTTTGAGGATAAGATCTTCTGGATTGTAGGTTTTCCTTTAACCTCATCACCGGAATCCCTCACCAGTTTGCCAGAGCACTTCTCTTCAATTTGGGAAAATGCACCGTGTGCTGTCGAATCTCCACGAGGTGTGCTAGCTCCACTCGAATTTGCATCCTCCCGATGGTCACAAAGAACTGCATCTGGAAAGCCATGATCAGAGTGATAACTATCTCCACTTCCACCTTCACGATCCGAGCTGTTTTCTCCAGTTCGAATCTTGGACTTCACTTTGTTGCTTACCTTTGATGCCTGTCTCAGTGCCTCAAACTATCAAAATACGCACACTACAACAAACCACAGGGAAATGAAACCAAAAGACTAACCAAATTCGATATCTTTGAAGCAATAGCCACTTGAAGAGGCTGCTGAGGATCAAGACCAAGTTTAGTTGAAACAGTGCTTCTTGATCGGACCAGGCTCGAATCTGCTCCATCCTGCTGTTTTGAACCAACTGCTAGAGGAATCTTCAATTCTTGAAATGGTCGTGAATCGCTCGATACGCAGATAATCCCGACCAATGCGCCATCGTCGTAGAACGGAGAGTTATTTGCAACAACTACAAACTTCTGCCCCATCTTGTTCTTTACAGGGAACTGGCCAGTCCAATTCTCCCCCGCCGTGACAAAACGGAGTACATCATTCGCAATGGCAAAGTCTTCGGGATCTACGAGAAGCCCGACGGCATCCTGGCCCAGAGCCTCCGCTGCAGAATATCCATACACAGTTTCGGCAGCTCGGTTCCTGAGTAGATTGGATTAGCGTCTCTAAAATCACTACCCAGAGAAAAATTATAAAGGGGCGTTTTATAAGAAGCAATCTCTGTATCTGTAAGGAAATTTCCATCATAATCTAAAACGAGGAAGAATTGTCACGAGAAGGAGAAGGAAGTTAACGAAAAGGGACTAAAAATAGGAAAAGAAAAAGGGCAGCGTACCAATAAATTATGCGACAATTAAGGTCAAAAATATGAACAGACTGTCCCATTGACTGCAAGATATTCAGATACTGCTTATTGGTGAAATTCACCGCGGCGGGGCCAGAGCAGCCGCCGCCGCCGCCGGCATTCAAAGGGTCACGGGTCCTACTCTCCCTCTGAAGTGGGGAAGAATGTCGGAACGAGGCAGAGCCTTTCTTCCAGGCTGCGGCGGCGGCGTCTAAACCACCGGAAGCGCCGCCTCTCCTTCTGGCCGTAGCAAATCTGGAGCGCTGCGGCGAGATTGATTGCGAGCGCTGATGGTGATGGTGATGGTGGATTTGGTGCTCGGAATTCGAATCTGCGGGAGTTCCGGAGAGAAGAAGTTTGGACATCTCTTTCTTGAGATGGGCTTGACCCTCCTCCAGCTCTCGGATCTTCCTCAGAAGCTCCTCCGCTGGTGGGGTTCCCATAAACAAACAACAACAACAACAAACAACTTCAGTAATCTTGAATGAAGATTAAACACGTTCCAAACACAAAACTAGAGACCCAGCACCAGATTTCCCTCATCCACCTCTAAAAAATTTCAAAAAATCGTTGAAACAAAAAGAAAATCAAGGAATCCCCCTCACAGCACCACCATCTCTGGGATTGGATTGAGGAATCTTTCAGTTAAACAAAAGAAAAATCAATCCCATCCCATAAAATCCAATCCAAACCAAAATCGAATTGATAGAATGAAGGGTTTCCGTTCGGTTTCTTCGCTCCTGATGGGTCAAGAACCTTCTCCCCTCCTCACCTTTTACTTTAGCTTCCTCCACAGCTCCGCCTCTTTTTTTTTTCTTTTTTTCCTTTTCTTCTTTTTGAATTAAATAAAATAAAAATGAATTTTGTTGTTCGATATTTTCTCTCTCTATGTGTTACTCGTTAATTTTGGGCGGTTTGATTTTCTATCTTATCATAAATTATAATTATTAATTCTGAATCTAAGTGTTACCTCCGATTGCCTCCAATGCTGTTTCCACACGCCACACACCCCACTGCACTGTCGTGGCCAATCACACACCTCCAGTTTTTTCTTTTCTTTTTCACTTTTTTTTTAATTACGGCTCCAACGTCTGGTCGGAATTTTCCTACAAATTTTCCCTCTTCTCTCTCTCTCTCTCTCTTCTTTATTAATACCACAAAAATAATATAAAATAATAATCAATTGTGGGCGACTTCCACTATTTTGTTCTTGTGACTGTAATATTATGTAATGAGTGTGGACTTTGATATTTCTTTTTCTACCTCTCTAACTTTGTTGTAATTAAATAAATTATTATTTTTCAATTTCGTTTGCTTGAATTGCTATTGGATCATGCATTGTGTGCCCAATTAATGCCATTGACTTTTTAAGTATGAGTTTTTCTTTGAATTAATCGAGTAATTAAAGTTGGATAATTTAATATATCCTTTTAGACTTTTGGAACTAGCAATAATTTTGACACCAAAGTCGTACCAAAAATTTGTACATCCAAATTTTCATGGTTGATATTCATTTTTGATAGGCAGGTGATGAGACTCGTCAAGAATATTGTTTTACTCCAATAATTTATATTGTTGTGGATAAAATTGACTAACTAATTCATCTGAAGTGCAAAAGAAGCAACGTGAGCCAAGCTACTAGGATCGAATCACCTGACTTGACTAGGTCTCGAGTCGATTCATCTAAACTAATTTGACGAATCTCCTACCATAAATAAAAGGAAGGGTGTGAGACACGAGAAGTACAAGATTTGCTTTTTTTTTTTGCTTGGGTATTCATATTTGGTTTACCTACTTTTTTTTATTTTAATATTGCAAGTTTCATTTTCTCACAGACGGTCTAAATCATTTGGAGAGTGGTTTTAGTTTAATTTTGATAAAAATACAATTTGCTTCATCATAAAATATGACGAATTGAATATTGATGATGATGGGTTTTAAAGATACCTTCACTTTTTTACTTTATTTTTTTATATATATATAAACTTTCTTCTTCTTCTCCTCCTCCTTTTTTTAATTACTGTTTTGGGTTTTTAAAGTCAAAATGTCATTAGATTTGTTAAGTTCTATATAAATTTCAATCTTTTTCTTTATGTTCAAATTATTACTCAATAACATCGAACAATTAAATAATAGAACGAGGGTGATATGACATTTAAAAGAATAATATTTTATATGAGTTGAGTTTTAAATATCCAATCTAACCCTACCTAGCATGAAATTTTTGTCAATGATAGTATATACACTTTAGAGATCAAATAAAATATATATGATCTTTAAAGAAAAATTAACTACCTTTAAAAATAACTTTTAGAAGGATAAAAAGTGTATCAATTTTCCAGATGTTTATAGCGTTTCATTAGATAACCAAAAATGATTTTGAAAATTTTTAAAATACTTTTACGGAAAAAAGTGGGTAATTATGGAATTTGATTGTTTGTTTTATTTAGACTTTGAAGATTGGTTGCGTGCAAATTATGAGTCCAGGTCCAATTTCAGCAACTTGCAAACAATTTTATTTTATTTTTGCCAAATTGGTGTTGTAGAGAGAGAGAGAGAGAGAGAGAGAGAGAGAGAGAGAGAGAGAGAGAGAGAGAGAGAAACTCCAAAGTCCAATCAATCTCATTTCCTTTATTTTAAACTTTAAAAAGTTGAATCGTACAATTCTGAATGAGCCTTTATTTATTTTCAAAGTTTCCACTTTCGAGCAATCAGCTTCGGATATAAATGCCATCAAATTCGCACTCTCCACATCCCAAATCTCCAATTCACATTTAACAAAACAAGTAAAACACTAAAGTTCAGAACAGAATTCCATTACTTTTAATGCTCTAGAGACATAATTATACATCAGGATGGAAACATAATTTATTTCAAAACTGAACTACAATTCTTCCTTCTATCAACTAGAAAACCTGAAGGACGAAATTTAGTGACCCTAAGGCATTGCTATAAATTTGCTTGTTGAGATTGATCCTTGTTACTCCTGCTGCTATTTGTAAACTCATCATTTGGTGTACAGAACATCTTCCCAAGGATGGCGGTACAGTGGCTGTTTCAGTCTCTTCTGATCAAATGTGTGTCTGCCAAATTCAATTACAACGATGAAGCAATCAGGTCGAGATACAATAATATACGTCAAAATAAACAACGTAACCAAACTTCGAAAGTTTAGCAGAAAAGCTTGGATAACAATGGTTTCTAGAGGATTTCCTACTCACCCAATCAGACCAATGGAGCGTGCCAGCACAAACAGTCCGTTCAAGTAGCCAATCTCGACGATCTCGTCGATTTCTTGTTTGCTGAACATTCCACTGCCAGCAAGAAGATCCAAGAAAAGGGATCCAATTGCACCGTCTACATTAAGAACCAAGTTGTTTGCCTTTGAGAGGGTGTAAGTTTCAACTTGCACAGCATACTCCATGTACTTCACAGACGGGAAATGCGTCCGTGCGAACCGCTGCAGTAGCTCCACTCTCTTATCTCTGTTGTCACCTCTCTTGATCCTTTTTCCATGAAAATCAAGCCATCAATAAACAACTTGAATAACCAATCATGATCATTTTCAAACCAAACTCAATCTCAGATATTGTAAAGCCATTATATTTGAACTAGAACATCGTCACTATACCTGTGGCCAATTCCTGGCACACGGATCCCTTTCTTTTTCATGCTTTCGACAAATTCGTAAGGTGTAAGGTTCTGTAAAAAGCAGGAATCAACATAGAATCTTAGAGAAAAGACTCAACAAGCACCAGATTAATTTAAAAGTTTAGAAATGAACAAATCTCACTTTGTCATATGCTTCCTTAAAATACCGAGCAGCATCATCAATGGCACCACCAAATCGAGGACCAATAGTAAGCAAACCTATTTCAGAATGTCACTGCATTGATTAGGCACACCAAATATAGACAACAGAACATCCTTGTCCAAATAAAATAAATTACAACCTGAGACAAGACTGGACACAAGGTCTTTTCCAGCCCTAGCTGTTACTATAGTGTTGTGCGCTCCAGATACACAAGGACCATGGTCAGCACATAGCATGATACATATCTGAAAAAGGGCATGAAACTTGTCAAACCGGGATCCAAGACTACAATTTCAATTTCCACCTTCGCGTAAGTGGAAAAGCAAAAGAAAATTTATTAAATTGAACACAGGTCTTGCACAGGGCTTTCAAGAGATCGTCAGTTCCATACTATGAGCTACCTACCTCAATAAAATGTGTACAATACCGAGGAAGGCTGCGCTTGAACCATAAAAGTGAGATAACATCTCCAACGCCATAACCTTGCTCAACAATGGAAGACATAGGAATTCCAGCATAGCTGGGCTCCTCACCTATTTTTTGTTTTTCAAAAAGCAATATAATTTAAAATTTATACTATTAAAACCTCAAAAATTCTGAACGAAAATCTTGGAACCAAGGAAGGTTAAAAACAAACCTCTGTCATCAGAAATGGTGGAAATAATATGGGTCGGGGCTCGAACTTTCCCGCTTTTAATTGCCGAGCTAAGATCCTCAGGAATTTGTGGGGGCTTCACTTCCTTTATTGGAGTAATTTTCCCCGCTTCAACCTAGGCATAAATCAGATGGAAAAATTAAAATTATCTGGTAGTTATGGATAAAATTTGAGGGCCATTTATCCCTCTCCAGAGGAAGAAGAGGACAAAATGGTGTAAAATAGTTCCCCTGGGGTCAGCGAAGGAAGTCATATGATTAATGAATTTACCAATTTTCCAAATGTTTCCTTAATTGCATCTTCAAGGGCTTCATATGACGTTGGAACAATTGCTCCAGCATCCCTTAAAGCCTTGTTTTTGCCTTGTGCAGACTCCAACTCGCCACCACTTTTTGCCCCCTGTAGTCAACGTCAAATAAGGTCAGGGAGCAAATAATGTCTGCAAATCCTATCATAAAATGACAATAAATTAAGCGGGACGAGTCCAACGTCAACTTACAGCATGACCAAATTGAACTTCAGATTTAAACAGTGTTGCACAAGTACCGCTAACCCAGGCAACCACTGGTTTGGTAACTTTTCCTTGTTTCATAGCTTCAACTAAAGAATACTCATCTTGACCACCAAGTTCTCCAAGTACAACCATCATCCTAACCTAAAGAATAGCAGAAAAAGAAAAAGCATATTGAAGGCAGAGAACAAAGTACATAAGGAGCCAATTTGGTAATGACTTGATTATGGTGTTAGCATCAAGGCCATCAATGATATGGAGGCGATGTGTACTATAGTTAAAATCAGTATTATACTATTGCGTGCATGTACATGTTTGTGAGGGGTGGGAGTGATCCTTGTGTGGCTAGCGACCTTCAAAGACTAATGACTTCTGGCACGCACAAAGAGTTACTAGTTTATCTACATGAATGGGTTTTCTGAATAAAAATTAAGCTGAAAGGCAACAAACAACAGAAAAGATGTCAATCACAATACCTGAGGGATGTTGTTAAACCGCAAAATATGGTCAGAAAGAGTTGAACCCGGAAACACATCACCTCCAATTGCAATACCTGTGCAGTTCAAAGAATATGAATCTGATTTAATATTTTGAAACCGTCCCAGACTAAAATCAGAAAGAAGCTATGAAGTTTACCTTCATAAATTCCATCTGTAACACGGGCAATAGTATTGTACATCTCATTAGACATTCCACCCTGTGATATCATAAAACATTATCATACTTCATACTGGTATCAGTTCTCAGTAAATCAACTATTTTAGAGGGCAGCAACAAGGTTTGACAACTTGCTTATAAGAAAAAGTAAAAAGTAAAAGAAACAGATTTATATGGTCTTGAGAAAGCTAGTCAACGAAAATAGCATATTAACTAAATAGCGAAGACACATGACATTATCACATACATAGAAATACGGTCCAGAATGCCAAATAAATTAGTTGTGCATAAGAAATCAATAAAACAATCCTATCCATGCATAAGAGCACACTTTAGATTGGAACAACTAAGTCAAGCAAAAGACTAGACGAAGAGTTTGGCAACAGTCACATACTGATTTAGAGACAAAGCCCACAGATCCAGGCCTGTACAACTTGCACTGTATTATATTGTCAATTGTTCCAGCAGTGTCACCGATCTTAAATGCGCCAGCTTGAATGCCACCAACAGTAGCTGGGCCTATAACAACCTGCAATTGAATTAAGCCGAGAGAAAAAATTCAATATCACTTATAGACCCCATGACTTATATGTTTTATTCCATTTATGCTGGTCTACTCTACTCATCATTTGGGGTAGACATGTGCCTCATTATCTGATATGCATAATACTGCACATATAAATTTCCGTGTGTTACTGATGCTAGAACTCAGTTTTACTAAAAGGATCAAATCTTTTCTCACCTTGTTGTTTGCCCGTGCATATGCAATCAACTGTTTGGAGTCCGACTCTGGAACACCTTCGGCTATGATAGCTATAACTCTGATGGTAGGCTGTTTCAAAGCAGACATTGATGATGCAGCAGCACTACACATATGGCAGCATAAACTAGTTATGAGTGGAAACAGAAAATTCTTGTTCCTCATAATTTAGTTTGCAACAACGACCACTAACCTTCTGAAGGATGCAAAGTTGATGAACACATCAGCAGTGGGATGTGCTGCACAAGCTGCTTCAATGCTGAATATATCAAAAAGAAGTTGGGAAGTTAACCTATTTGTTCTAAACAAGTTCTACAGATTAGATTAAGTAAAAGATTGTTAAAAAAGTACGTACTACTGGCTAATTATGCTCACTTCAAGAAGATTAATAAACCCTACCACTTCAAACTATATATTGAATTTCAAGATAATGTAATGTAATGCTATTGTGAAAAGACACAAATTAGAATGGAAAAAATTATAAGCAGTCTCTGGAACTAAAGGCCATTCAAAAAGCTGTTGAGCAATGGTTTTAGAATCATATCTAGAATTAAATGTGAATAAAGGTGTGATATGGAAAAAAAAAAAAAAATCATAGTTAATAGAAGAGAGTGTAAATTTATTACGCACGTAGAATGCACAGGGATGGCAATTTCCTCTTGACCGAAAAACAGTTTCTGGAATCCCTCAGCACCAGGATTGATGATTCCTGCAACTGATGGTGTTTCCCTCCCTGAATAATAAGTCAAAAAGGGAGGAGTTAATAGTGTAGATACCCACAATCCATAGCCAACAAAAGGATAATCTATTCCAAACACTAGGAAACTGTAGCTCTGCACTAATGCTGTGTTCTTCAAATGGAAGATATCAGATAACAAAAGAAGAAAACTACAAGAAGTAATACACACCGCAGAGGAAGTCAAAGTCAAGCATCCGTTGGATGGGTAGTTGCTTGTAGTTGTAGAATAGAGCTTGCGTCGTCCGAGAAAATATTTGTCCGGTGGCCATGGTGAGCGTCAAAGGAACCTGCATGTAGGAATTATGTTTCTGTATACCCTTTTCACTCTTTATAGTGTCAAAAGACTTAAAATGAAATTTCAACAAAAATTCAAAAAAACCAAATTAGGTTTTAGATTCTTCGCATGATTCAATGGACGCAGTTACTAAGATAAGTTAAATAAATGAACTCTCCCCAATACGTTTCCCCTCATTACAAAAGTCGATTATCTAAAACCTAACTTGCTAACTACATGATTCTCCACTCTGATGATATCTTGACTAAGAACACTTCATGTATTAAAGATATTCTTGTTCAGAGATGAAGGCGATCTAAGGCTGAGGAGTAGAGAAGGAAAACAGAAAATGGAGTAACGTTTGCAGAATTAAAGAGCTCTGCATTCAATCGTCTACATTATTCAACCAATTCATCTCATAAACGGAAGGAAATCCAACGAATTGCAATATCGAATCAACTGGGAAATACTACCTCAAAACAACTACAGGCTACGAGATATGTGCTGAAATTAAAAAAGTAAAAATGGACAGAGTTAAATCCTCGCAATGTGACCGAAGAAATTGAAAAACACAAACGAGGATCAAACCCGGATGATGAGCAGATCAAGAGAAGAGCTCACAACAGTCAACACACACACACAACAATTAGGTCCGAAGAGATCGGAAGAATAAACAAAACAAAACAAAACGGTAGGGATGTAAACAGAGATTGAAATGGAAGAGAAGGGAGAATAAACAGATCCAGAAGGGCGGCAGAAGCGAGAAAAAGGCGGGAATGAGTAGTGGAAGCGGAAACGGACCTGAAAGCTCAATGCGGAAGCGGATTCCGGCGGCGGCGAATGAACGGAAAGTGAATACTGGAAGGTGGAGGATGGGATCGGAGATCGGAGATGGAATGGGAATTTATATAGAGAAACAGAAGGCAAGTCGGAGGGAGGGAGCGAAGAGGGTGATCCCGGCACGTGGTCGCTGTTGCCTGTTAGTTAGCTCACAACCATCAGCACGTGATTCTCATGTTTATTCATTTAGCAAACCAAACTCCCACCATGATTGATTCTTTACCCCTGTGCGGCGGGAAGGAACAATAAAATAACACCGATTTCCCCCTAATACTTTTTTTATCCCAAATCCCTAATTTTTTTTCCTCTTTTTACTCTCGCAGATTTAACACCATCAAATTATTCATCCTGACCCTAAAATTTGAACTCATTCTCTCTCAATTACCTAGCCTCTTTATATGAATGAACTACGAAAACTAAAAATTACGGCTATTTATTTTAAAAAATATATATCTCTCCTCTCTTATTTTTTAAAATGTGAAATTTCAATGCATGGCAAAAGTCTTTTATGTATTTTAAAATATGTCACATGTTTTTTAAAATTTTTAAATATAGCACAAATTTTCACTTATATTAATAGTGTATCAGATACTCATATCAGTAGTATATTACTAGTGTATCCGACACTTATATCATTAACATATTAGATGTATATCACATACATATTGCACAAATACTCGTATCAATAATATATCATATGTTTATCACATACATATATCAGTAGTCAGATATATTATAGATATATTACAGATGTATATCATTTGGGTAAAGTTTTCCTTTTAAAATTGGATCTCCATTTTTATAATAAAAAGTGATATATTTAAAAAAAAAAACTAAACGTGGTTACTATTTTACTAATTTTATTAAATATTTTTGTCATATTTATATCTAATAATTTAAAAAACATAACAGTGATTAGCCTAAAATATAAGAATTGATATAAAAGGTAGAAAGAGGGAGGGGAGAGATAAAAATTTAAATTAACCATAAATATGAATTTAAGTTTTTTTCCTTCCCTAATATATAAACCATAAATATCACCTGTCAGAATTATACTTGAAAAATACATTTTAGGATTTTTT